CACAAAAACAGCGTCAGGACGGAGGAGACGCCAAAACCGCACCAACTCACCTGCAGAACATAGGCCCTGAAGGGCCATGACGCAAGCGTTCGAGTCCGTATCCGCCAGAGGCGGCCAGTGCGCCCATGCTGGAGAGGAGGGGAGCAGCGAAGGAGGCTCCCCACCCTAGAACGCAGGGAAAAACCTCATGAATTCCACACAGCGGCACCCCAGTTCACCCCCAAAGCAACGGGGCACGGATGGGAATAAGAAAAGAACGAGAGGCGAAGCCCCCGAGAGAATTGGAGCAGAACACGTGTGCACACCGCCCGGAACCAAAACAAACTCCCACGGCACATGCGCAGGACGCAAAAGAAAGTAGCCCAACCAGGCGAGAAGTAGCCCAACAAGGCAAGAAGTAGCCCAATAAAGCGAGAAATAGCCCAATAAAGCGAGAAGTAGCCTAACAAGGCGAGAAGTAGCCCAACCGGCTACAAGGAGCCCAAACGACCACAAAGGAGCCCAAACGGCCACAAAGGAGCCCAAACGGCCACAAAAGAGCCCAAACGGCCACAAAGGAGCCCAAACGGCCACAAAGGAGCCCAAACGGCCACAAAGGAGCCCAAACGGCTAAAAAGGAGCCCAAACGGCTACAAGGAGCCCAAACTGCTACAAGGAGCCCAAACTGCTACAAGGAGCCCAAACTGTTCAGAACAGAAGGAACCAGTATGGAGGCAAACTCCGGGACACGCAGGAGGAAGCCGCAAAGGCCAACCACACCGCAGGCGAAGAGATGCGGTTAGCCGAAAACCTCCTGAAGACGGAACCGAAGAAACCACAGGGACACGGAACCGAAACCGGGGAGGAGCAGAACCCAAGCCCAAATCGTACGCAGAGGGGGGAAAGAAAACCCCACTCCTCGTAACAGTAAGCCCCACTCAGAAGGACGGAAATCCAGGCGGGGCGCAATGGAGCCCAAGGCCCCCAAGGCCGCTCCTCCCCAACCCCAGGAGCCTCTGCACCAGGCCCCGGAGCCGAGTCGACCTCCAAAGCCCCGGCCTCACAAGAAAAAGCCGGGGCAGCCGAGAGAGCTGAAAGAGAAGGGGGCCCACTGGTCAAAACCCCGGAGCATCGGCCGGAGGAACAGACTCGAATGCCTCCGCAGCTACCCCGGACGGGGCAACCCCCGAAACTGCCCAAGTCTCAGAACCTCTAACCCCGCCCCGACCCCAAAGCCTGCAGATGCGTAGGGGCCGGAAGCAGGAGGGGGAAAAACAAGGGGAGCGTGGAAGGAACCAAGGCCGAAGCGACCAAAACCACCCAAGTCTGGGTCCCTACACAAGCGGGGCAGCATCGGGGCGTCCGGGGAAGCGACAAACCAGAGCGCGTTGCAACATCCTACCCTGCAACGCGCGAGCTGCCTGCACCCACGGGAATTCATCAGCAAACTGGGTGAACGGAGTCACGAACAAGCAACAAAGCTCGCAGGACTCAAGGGTCGAATGTGTCACCGACCCAACAGGCAGCATGACGGAGGCAAAAACAAGGAGAGTCACCCTGAGACAAAGGGACAGAGCAACCCTCAACTCGCACAAAGCGAGAGGGGACGCAAGGGTCTCCATTATCGGACCCGAGAGCCCCCGGGGGGTTTCCCAGGGCCCCTAGACTGGGTCTGCTAAGGGTTATCCCAGGCAGGGTACTGCTAACCGGCGCCCCAAACTACCAAGCAAACTGCTAAAGCTGAACCCATGGGACGTGTCCACTCGCGAGGGCAAAGCAGGGGTACCACCACACAAACGAACCTAATATAAGGGGGGGGGAAACACAAGGAAGACCCCCCTACCAGGCAAAAACAAAAATAAAATAAAAAACCACACAAGTGGACAACGTACCCAGAGGGAACAGAGCCGGCCGCTGTCATAGGTGAAAACTAGCTACGCAGTACCCTGCGCCCCACCAGTGCGATAACTACCACTTACCCCAAGGTAAACAAGGGAGTGAAACCCCCAAACCCTCGGGGCGGCCAAACGCCAAGCAGCGAAAAGCCAACAGAGGTAGACCCAAGGTGACTTGTGGAAGGCAACCCCAAGCCCCAAGGGCAGTACTGTACTTACAGGGCACTCAGGGAAGGTGACCCTAAGCACATGCAGCCCGAGTACCTGAGAATACTACTCCCAGCTCACATGACCACCGTAAGAGCAGCACTGCAAACAAGTCACAGCACTGAGACAAGACTGGAGCTGGAGCCACACGACCGTGCATGATCCCATCAGCCGAGGAACTGGGGCGGGGATCGCCGGCGCGGGGGTCTGGGGCTCCCCCTTCCCCCTCCCTGGGAGGGGGGAGCTGTGCAGACATGCGGTGCGGCTCGTGTGACGTCATGCTTGTTAGTTCGTTTTCCTGGGGGAGTTCTGTCCACTCGTTTGTCGATTTTTGTTGTTTAACCAGAATAGGGGTTTGTTTTGTGGCGCGCACCTTTCTGGGTGCCTGTCCCGGTCGATGGCAGATATAGAATGCTCCAAATCACATGTGCATTTCTATGGGCCATTGCTCCCCGCGCCTCTCTGAGGGGGCCAGGTTCTGGCTCGTGGTCCCCGGTAGGCCTAGAACTCCACCCACATCGACTGATGCAAAATAGTTAGGGTATCCATATCAACCATGGATAGCTCCGGGGAGCCGTAGGGGATCCCCCCAGAAAAAATGCAAAAATACTATATCCTCAGAGGAAACAGGAGCCGGCCTCTGCGTAGGTAGCTGGCTGCGCAACACCTTGACGCCCCAACCAGAAACAATACCCCTATCTACCCAAGGCCAAACAAGGGACACGAAACCCCAGCTGATCCCAAGGGTAGGGTAAATGCTGAGCAGCAAGAACCCCTACGGAAATGGTGTCCCGATTGCACCAGAGAAGAGAACTCTGATACGCAAGGGTAGTAGGGGGCCTACGAGGCCCTGACGAGGGGCCTCGTAGCCTGGTGGATAGCTCGCAGGACTCGTAATTCTGTGGCGCGGGTTCGATTCCTGCACGAGGCAGAAACAAATGGGCAAAGTTTCTTTCACCCTGAATGCCCCTGTTATCTAGCAGTAAATAGGTACCTGGGAGTTAGTCAGCTGTCACGGGCTGCTTCCTGGGGGTGGAGGCCTGATCGAGGACCGGGCCGCGGGGACACTAAAGCCCCGAAATCATCTCAAGATAACCTCAAGAAGTACTCACAGGGAACTTAGAGAAAGCAGCCCTAAGTGCATGCAGTCCCGGTACACTTCAGGTACATTTGGCCACCACACCACAAACAACAGAGGACACCACGAAGGCAAAACACTGTAGGAATTCGAGGCCAGAGATGAGGACCACCCTGGATTGTATTAGCCGATGAACTGGCATGGCTGGGTGTTACGGCCAGCTTGGGCCGGTAACCGGATTCTTTCTGTTAACGTGTTTTATAACCTCTACTTCTTGATCCTACCACAAGTCGATGGTAAGTTTTCAAGAACTGGCTGTGGCAAGTAGTAGTGCAAGGAATAAAGGGCGGATAAACAATTCTGAGTCCACACACAGTATTGTCACTATGTCTCAATACCCCACATCCACTCTCCGGAAACACACTGGCAGAGGGTTTCAGCAACACACTGATAGGGGTCTCAAATAATCACATACATGGGGTAGCTAACACCTTGGCAGAAGGTGTTAATTACTAACACCAAGTCTCTAGCAACACACTAGCAGCACTTCTCAACGGACGCACTACTGGCGCGTAACTCTTCTTGGTCAAATCCCGGGTACATCGGTCCATACAACATTGCATAAATCCAGCAGCTAACACACTGCTACTACTGACAGCGGCCACTTTGTCCTCTCACAGGACCAAGTCAAGAGTTATGGACTGCCCAAGATGAACTGCCCTCCTCGGCTCAATCATCTCCTTACGTCACTTCTGTGAACATAAACGTCATTAGCTAGACAGACAGTATACTGGGTGACCTTAGGATAACACCCTTCCACCGGGGAACTGACAATGTAATTGCATTCAAGACCTAGATGGCGTTGATATTGTTATGCCACCCTCCAGATGTCATCATCATTGACCTCACCTCCTAACTGAGGTATGAAACAGGAGCCTTTCAACGACGCTGCACCACCGCCAACAGATAGCGTTGTCTGCGTCACATCTAATACCTGGGAGTTGGAGTGCAGGTCCATAGATGGCACTGAAATCGCCACTTCACACTCCACCAACGGTGTTGATACAGCAACACTGGTGGCGCAGGGAGTCCAGAGGGCTGTGCGGACGAGTGACGCGGCGGTGGAGTGTGACGTTTGTTTGTTTCCTTCTTTCCTTGGGATTGGAAGGGCTTCTGCCTCTCTGTTCAGTTTTAGGTTGCAATTTTCTTACGAAATGGGGTTTGTTTTGATATGCCTACCTTTCTGGGTGCCTAACCCCGGTCAATGGCAGATAGGAAAACCCCCAACCACAGGGCGGTGTTCCAGGGCCATTGTTCCCTGTGCTCTCAGGGAGGGCCCTATTTCTGGCTTGTGGTCCCTGATAGACTGAACCCCTATGACTAATGCCCTAGTCTAATGAACTGCATATTAGCCCGATAGCTCCACGGAGCTGAAGAAAATCAGTTTTTATTTTCTTTCAAAATATTTTCATAGGAATAGTGGTGGGTAGTACCAAAAGTTGCCATGGGGTCTAAATGTGACTCTGACCTTTCTGAATTCTGGCTATCCCAACCAATCTAAGTTCATCCCAGACAACAGACCATTATCTCTGTCAATTTGGGTAAAGCTAGGAATAAGATTCTGGCATCCAACTTTGAACAGACAGACAGACAGACACAGACAGACAGACAGACAGACAGACAGACAGACAGACAGACAGACAGACAGACAGACAGACAGACAGACAGACAGACATAAACATTACAGACATTCTCTCTTATAGGTATAGAATGAAGTTAAGCCAACTTGGTTCAATTTCCTGATATGCTAAGACATGGAATAATACCAACAACAACAGTACCTTCTTCCGTGCCTTCATTGATTTGACCGCAGCCAGCCAACGCTCCCCACCCAAGATGCTATAGTTGGGTACACAACTTGTTCTGGAAGACTGAGAGCTGGATGATGAACTGTGCTTTGAGTGCTTTGAGTCACCAGTTTTGGATGTGTCACCAAGTACAGATGTTTGTCGATAGGTCTGCATTTCATCACTCTTGTCTACATCAAAGAAACTCTGCACAGTTTTCTGTGTCTGTAAGAGAAATGCAAATTAAAAATCCAGCATTGATTGGAATGAAATGGCTCTAATTTAGAACCCCAGTGGCTTCCTGAAGCAATGATGTTGAGACTGCTACATGTTAAAAGGTCACATCAGTTGTACAAGTTCTGTTTGGCCTACTGGGGACTAGAGCCAGAATCTGGCTCCCCTCATAAAGGTACAGGGAGCAAGGGACAATTTACCACCCCCCACCAGGAAAGCATCCAGAAAGTCAGCAAAAATTTACAGAAACTGGAGGATGCACAGGAAACAAAGCCTCAAAATACCAGAGTTGAATGTAATGAAACACCAGTTTCTGGGCGAGCCCTGGGGGCTCCCTGAAGCTGTCTTTCTGATCAGTGCAACATTATTTGAGTGTCACCAGTTGCAGAGTTCTTTGTATGCCTACCAGGGACCACAAGCCAGAACCTGGCCCCCTCAGAGAGGCACAGGGAGCAATGGCCCATGAATACTTTTACATGTAAAGTATATCATCTTGCCATTGACCAGGGAAGGCACCCAGAAAGGTAGGTGAATCAAAACAGACTACTGCCTGACTGAAAAGTGCGACATACGTCTTCAAAAGAGCAAAAGAACTCCCCCACAAAGAAAACAAAACTTCGTCCAGCTAAGCCTTGCTCGTTAGCACCACCTCCATCCCCATGGAGGGAGAGGGAGCCGGGCTGGATGAGCCAGGCCACCCACTAGCCAGTTCTTTGAACAATGAAAGCCCCCAATCGGAGGGAGGGAGGGAGGGTGTCTGGGAGCCTCCGAGGATCACCTAGAAACTGCCGTTTCATCACATTCAATGCTGGTTTTCTGTGAGGAGCTCCATCGGTGTTAGTTCAGGAGTTGACTCCTGAAGCTAACTACCAACAGAGAAGGAAAAACAAGGACCTACCAGGGAGGCGACAGCACCACAGGTCTCAAACCAAGGAAGAGACAGATGGCTGCGACAGACAGCCCAAAGCAACACAAGGCCACAGAGGGCCCGGGACGTATACTAGATAGCTGGCAGGCCCGAGTGTTGACTGCAGGCTGGCTAGATTCAAAGACACAGTGGACAACCTGAGACACATGAACCCTGGAACAGAGAACCAGGGAAACCTGACTAACCCAGAGTGCAGCCACAACACAGAACTGGTGACCCATAGGTAGTGGCGCAAAGCAGCCACCAGACACAGCACAGGATGCACTACCGGCCGAACCAACCAGGCATCCACAACCTAAGGACCAATCTGGAAGCCTGCCATCTCAATTAATGTCAGAAAAGATGGAGATGGCAGAAAACAAACAAAACGACCACCAGGACCAAACGAACAAAACTCCTGTCACCAAGGAAGAGCATGAAGCTCCCCAACCTGACTCCAAAAGGCCTAAGCCAACAAAAACAAAACTTTCCAGAAGCAATCACAAACTGAAGAGGCGACCTTAAACCAAGAAGAAAGAATGGAAACAACCTGATCCAGAGACCAAGAAAGCTCAGGCAGCAAAGGAGCAGGCTGGAGGTGAAAAAGCCAGCGGTGAATGTAATGAAACGCCATTTTCTGGGTGAGCCCCGGAGGCTCCCTGGAGCTTATCGGGCTAATGTATGTTATATTAGACCGGGACAATAGCTAAGGAGTTCAGACCTACCAGGGACCAGCGCCAGAACCTGGCTCCTTCAGAGAGGTTTCAGGGAGCAATGGCCCTGGAAAACCCCCTTGTGGTTGGGGTTTTCCTTATCTGCCATGGACCGGGGTTAGGCACCCAGAAAGGTAGGCATAACAAAACAAACCCCACATGGTAAAAAACCAGCGTTGAATGTAATGAAACGCCATTTTCTGGGTGAGTCCCGGAGGCTCCCCGGAGCTATCCCAGGCTGATATGCTAATGTCAGACTTTGGCATCAGTCATGTGTATGGAGTTCTTAGGCCTACCGGGGACCACAGCCAGAACCGGGCCCCCTCAGAGAGGCAAGAGGAGCAATGGCCTATAGAAGCCCCCGTGTGGTTGGAAGCATTCTATGTCTGCCATCGACCGGAACAGGCACCCAGAAAGGTAAGCGCCTCAAAACAAACCCCTATTCTGGTTAAAATTGCTACCAAAAACCGAACTAGTGGATAGAACTCCCCAACCGAAAACAAGCAAACTAGTGTGACGTCACACACCGCCGCGCCGCTGTCTGCGCAGCTCCCCCCTCCCCGGGAGGGGGAAGGGGGAGCCCCAGACCCCCCACGCCGGCTACCCACACCTCAGTTCTTGAGGCTGGATGTCAAAAACGCGAAAAAACGCCGACCGTAGGGAGGGAGGAATGCCGGGGAGCCTCCGGGACTCACCCAGAAAATGGCGTTTCATTACATTCAACGCTGGTTTTCTGGGGGGAGCCCCATCGGCTCCCCGGAGCTAACTACCCACAGACAGAAAAAAGAGGGACTTACCCGGGAGGCGGTCGTCGCTCACTCCTCAACTCAAAGCCGAGACAACTGGCTGCAACCGCCGACCCAAAGCAACACAGGCCCGACGAGGCCCAGGGACATTCACAAGGTAACGAGCAGCCAGGACCCTGTTCGACCGCCAAAATCCCCGCGCCCGAACATCAGACCAAGACATATTCCCAAAGACGGCAGCAAGAGCCGCGAACTTACGAACGTCATGGGCACGGGGACAGACCGCAGGCTGGCTGGACTTAATAACCCTGAGGACGACCTGAGAGACCCGAACCCACGAACAGGGAAGAAGGGAAACCGGATCAACCCACAGCGCGTCCCCGGACACAGAAGCTGTGGCGCGCAAATAACGGCGAAGCGCCGCAACCGGACACAAAACATGATGCACCCCCGGCCTGACCAACCAAGCATCAACCACCCATGGACCCCTCCGGAACGCAGCAGTCTCATTCTTCGCCAGAAAAGAAGGAGACGGCTGCAAACGAACAAAACAATCACCACGACCAAAAGAGCAGAAACCCCTGCGCCGGAGGAGAGCATGAAGCTCCCCTACCCGACCCCCAGAGGCCAAAGCCAACAAGAAAAGTGCCTTGGAAAAACAATCCTGGACCGAAGGGGCCACAACGAAACGAGGAGACGAAAGGAAAGCGAGCACTCTGTACAAAGACCAGGACGACTCAGGCGACGCATGAGCAGGCTGGAGGTGAAACAATGCACGAGACAGCTTGCGAAACGGCGCAGACGTAACATCGATACCGATAGCAAGCTGAAGCGGCTCTGCCAGCGCCGCACGATACGAAGCGACAGTGTTAGGCATAAGATGACGGTCCTGAAACAACCACGAGAGGAAGGACAAGACCACCCGAACAGACAAGGAACTAACCCGACGAAGACGCAAAAAGAAACGGAAGGACCGCCAGGAAACTTCATACTGCCGCCGAGAAGAAGCCCTCAGGTGGGACACCAACAAGGAGGCCACCTGATCACCATAGAGATGATGATAGACTCGAGATAAAAAAACCATATGCGAAGACTCGAGGAGAAGATCGAACCAGCCACGTGACGTACTGGCCCGATCTGCTGAAAGAGGCGGAGCCGCGGGAAAACCCTCGGGTTCGGACACCGAGCAACCAGCGCCTGAAACCAAGGCTGGGCCGGCCACCAAGGGGCCAGAAGGACAACTCTCCCCTGGTAAGTCTCTAAGCGAGTCAGGACCTGGAGCAACAGCCGAACCGGGGGAAAGAGGTACAGGAACCCCCACCTCGACCAGTCTAGCCGAAAGGCATCGACCCCGACGGCCTCGCGATCGGGGAAGGGCGCCGCATAAACGGGAAGACGCCGCGACCACGCCGACGCAAAGAGGTCCACTTCGGGACGCCCGAACGTCTGGCAAAGCCAACGGAAGGACTCGTCGTCGACCGTCCACTCCGTGGAGAGGGGAATGAAGCGAGACAGGGCGTCGGCCAAGACGTTGGACACGCCCCGTACGTGAACCGCCAGGAGAGCCAAACCCCGAGAACTCAGCAGACGAGTCACCCGAAGCGACCAACCCCAAAGAGACAAGGACCGCATTGAGCCCACGCGGTTCAGGCAATGAACCACCGGAGAGCAGTCCGAATGGAGCCGAATCGTCGATCCGCGGGCCACCCGAATCCTCCCTACAGCAAACCACACTGCTACGAACTCCCGCACCGTGCTGTGAGCTCGACGGAAGGACGGATCCCAACGCCCCTGGCCGGCCTGGTGAGCACTGGTCACAAAACCCCAGCCGAGAGACGACGCATCCGTGTACACATCGAGCGAGGGCTCGGGTAGGCGCCAAGGCACTGAACCCCGAAAAACCTGAAGAGGAAGCCGGTGACGCAGCAACCGACGCAAGGCCTCCGGGGGTCGAACTCTGCGATCGCGAGAGAGGCGGAAGGGGGAACCCCTAAGGAACCAGAACAGCCGTCGAAGCCAAACCCGACCCGGCGGGTAGACCACCATTGCGAAGTTCAGGCTCCCGCACAGCCCCTCGAGCAACAGCCGGGTGACCCGAGGGCCCTCCAGAAACAGACAAAGGCGGGACCGCAGCCGCAGGAGAGACTCCGGAGGGAGAGACAAGGAGGCGGTTCGAGAGTCCCAAACGAGACCCAGCCAAGTCCGAACCTGAGAGGGAACCAGATGGGACTTCCTCCAGTTCACCAAGAACCCGAACTCGGCGAGCTGGGAAAGAACCAAATCCCTGGCTAGCAAGCAAGCAGACTGGCTGGGAGCCCAAACCAGCCAGTCGTCGAGGGAGGCCAACACCCGAACACCTAGGAGACGCAAACGAGCCACCACAACCCGTGTAAGGCGCGTGAACATGCGAGGTGCCAGGTTCAACCCGAACGGGAGACAACGAAAGCGGTAACTCAGACGCCCCACAACAAAACCGAGCCAGTCCCTGAACCGCGGATGAATCGGGACATGCCAATAAGCATCCCGGAGGTCCAGGGACACCATCCAAGCTCCCGGCTCCAAGAGGAGCCGAACCTGAGACAGCGTAGGCATCCGAAAGGAGGGGCAATGAACCCAGGGGTTCAG